GGGCTTGGGGGGGTGGGGGGTTCTCGGTAGGGCTTGGGGGGGTGGGGGGTTCTCGGTAGGGCTTGGGGGGGTGGGGGGTTCTCGGTAGGGCTTGGGGGGGGGGGGGGTTCTCGGTAGGGCTTGGGGGGGGTGGGGGGTTCTCGGTAGGGCTTGGGGGGGTGGGGGGTTCTCGGTAGGGCTTGGGGGGGGGGTGGGTTCTCGGTAGGGCTTGGGGGGGTTGGGTTCTCGGTAGGGCTTGGGGGGGTGGGTTCTCGGTAGGGCTTGGGGGTGTGGGTTCTCGGTAGGGCTTGGGGGTGTGGGTTCTCAGTAGGGCTTGGGGGGGGGTTCTCGGTAGGGCTTGGGGGAGTGGGTTCTCGGTAGGGCTTGGGGGGTGGGTTCTTGGTAGGGCTTGGGGGGGTGGGTTCTCGGTAGGGGTCGAGGTGGGCTCTTTCGGGATTGGGATAGGCTCTCGGGCTTGGGGAACCTCTGTAGGGCTCGGGGTAGGTTCTTGGTCGGGCTCAGGGTGGGTTCTCTTTAGGGCTCGGGGCGGGTTCTCTGTAGGGATCGGGGTGGGTACTCGGTAGGGCTCGGGGCGGGCTCCAGGTACTCAACTGACGGGTTCCAGTTCACTCAACTGGCGGGCTCCGGTTCACTCAACTGGCGGGCTCCGGTTTACTAAACTGGCGGGCTCCGGGTGTTTGACTGGTCGGGCTCCGGGTGGGTGACTGTTCGGGCTCCAGGTGGGTGTCTGTCCGGCTTCGGGTGGGTTCTTGGGGTGGGTTCTTGGTAGGTATTAGGGCTGGGTTCTTGGTAGGGCTTGGGGGGTGGGTTCTCGGTAGGGCTTGGGGGTGGGTTCTCGGTAGGGCTTGGGGGGTGGGTTCTCGGTAGGGCTTGGGGGGTGGGTTCTCGGTAGGGCTTGGGGGGTGGGTTCTCGGTAGGGCTTGGGGGGTGGGTTCTCGGTAGGGCTTGGGTGGTGGGTTCTCGGTAGGGCTTGGGTGGTGGGTTCTCGGTAGGGCTTGGGGGGTGGGTTCTCGGTAGGGCTTGGGGAGTGGGTTCTCGGTAGGGCTTCGGGGGGTGGGTTCTCGGTAGGGCTCGGGGTGGGATCTTTCGGGATCGGGATAGGCTCTCGGGCTTGGGGAACTTCTGTAGGGCTCGGGGTAGGTTCTTGGTTGGGCTCAGGGTGGGTTCTCGGTAGGGCTCGGGGCGGGCTCCAGGTACTCAACTGACGGGTTCCAGTTCACTCAACTGGCGGGCTCCGGTTCACTCAACTGGCGGGCTCCGGTTTACTAAACTGGCGGGCTCCGGGTGTTTGACTGGTCGGGCTCCGGGTGGGTGACTGTTCGGGCTCCAGGTGGGTGTCTGTCCAGCTTCGGGTGGGTTCTTGGTAGGGCTTGGGGTGGGTTCTTGGTAGGTATTAGGGCTGGGTTCTCGGTAGGGCTTGGGGGGTGGGTTCTCGGTAGGGCTTGGGGGGTGGGTTCTCGGTAGGGCTTGGGGGGTGGGTTCTCGGTAGGGCTTGGGGGTGGGTTCTCGGTAGGGCTCGGGGTGGGCTCTTTCGGGATCGGGATAGGCTCTCGGGCTTGGGGAACCTCTGTAGGGCTCGGGGTAGGTTCTTGGTCGGGCTCAGGGTGGGTTCTCGGTAGGGCTCGGGGCGGGCTCCAGGTACTCAACTGACGGGTTCCAGTTCACTCAACTGGCGGGCTCCGGTTCATTCAACTGGCGGGCTCCGGTTTACTAAACTGGCGGGCTCCGGGTGTTTGACTGGTCGGGCTCCGGGTGGGTGACTGTTCGGGCTCCAGGTGGGTGTCTGTCCAGCTTCGGGTGGGTTCTTGGTAGGGCTTGGGGTGGGTTCTTGGTAGGGCTTGGGGGTGGGTTCTTGGTAGGGCTTGGGGGTGGGTTCTTGGTAGGGCTTGGGGGTGGGTTCTTGGTAGGGCTTGGGGGTGGGTTCTTGGTAGGGTTTGGGGTTGGCTCCCGGTCAGGCTCGGGGTGGGCTCTTTCGGGATCGGGATAGGCTCTCGGGCTTGGGGAACTTCTGTAGGGCTCGGGGTAGGTTCTTGGTCGGGCTCAGGGTGGGTTCTCGGTAGGGCTCGGGGCGGGCTCCAGGTACTCAACTGACGGGTTCCAGTTCACTCAACTGGCGGGCTCCGGTTCACTCAACTGGCGGGCTCCGGTTTACTAAACTGGCGGGCTCCGGGTGTTTGACTGGTCGGGCTCCGGGTGGGTGACTGTAAGGGCTCCAGGTGGGTGTCTGTCCGGCTTCGGGTGGGTTCTTGGTAGGGCTTGGGGTGGGTTCTTGGTAGGTATTGGGGCTGGGTTCTCGGTAGGGCTTTGGGCTGGGTTCTCGGTAGGGCTTTGGGCTGGGTTCTCGGTAGGGCTTGGGGCTGGGTTCTCGGTAGGGCTTGGGGCTGGGTTCTCGGTAGGGCTTGGGGGGTGGGTTCTCGGTAGGGCTTGGGGGGTGGGTTCTCGGTAGGGCTTGGGGGGGTGGGTTCTCGGTAGGGCTTGGAGGGGGTGGGTTCTCGGTAGGGCTTGGGGGGGGGTTCTCGGTAGGGCTTGGGGGGGGTTCTCGGTAGGGCTTGGGGGGGGTGGGTTCTCGGTAGGGCTTGGGGGTGTGGGTTCTCGGTAGGGCTTGGGGGGGGGGGGTTCTCGGTAGAGCTTGGGGGGTGGGTTCTCGGTAGGGCTTGGGGGGGTGGGTTCTCGGTAGGGCTTGGGGGTGGGTTCTCGGTAGGGCTCGGGGTGGGCTCTTTCGGGATCGGGATAGGCTCTCGGGCTTGGGGAACCTCTGTAGGGCTCGGGGTAGGTTCTTGGTCGGGCTCAGGGTGGGTTCTCTGTAGGGCTCGGGGTGGGTTCTTGGTAGGGCTCGGGGCGGGTTCTCTGTAGGGCTCTGGGTGGGTTCTCGGTCGGGCTCGGGGCAGGCTCCAGGTACTCAACTGACGGGTTCCAGTTCACACAACTGGCGGGCTCCGGTTCACTCAACTGGCGGGCTCCGGTTTACTAAACTGGCGGGCTCCGGGTGTTTGACTGGTCGGGCTCCGGGTGGGTGACTGTTCGGGCTCCAGGAGGGTGTCTGTCCGGCTTCGGGTGGGTTCTTTGTAGGGCTTGGGGGTGGGTTCTTGGTAGGGCTTGGGGGTGGATTCTTGGTAGGGCTTGGGGGTGGGTTCTTGGTAGGGCTTGGGGGTGGGTTCTTGGTAGGGCTTGGGGGTGGGTTCTTGTTAGGGCTTGGGGGTGGGTTCTTGTTAGGGCTTGGGGGTGGGTTCTTGGTAGGGCTTGGGGGTGGGGTCTTGGTAGGGCTTGGGGGTGGGGTCTTGGTAGAACTTGGGGGTGGGGTCTTGGTAGGGCTTGGGGGTGGGGTCTTGGTATGGCTTGGGGGTGGGGTCTTGGTAGGGCTTGGGGGTGGGGTCTTGGTATGGCTTGGGGGTGGGGTCTTGGTAGGGCTTGGGGGTGGGGTCTTGGTAGGGCTTGGGGGTGGGTTCTTGGTAGGGCTTGGGGTTGGCTCTCGGTTGTCAAGCTCGGGGTGGGCTCTCGGGCTTGGGGTACCTCTGTAGGGCTCGGGGTAGGTTCTTGGTCGGGCTCAGGGTGGGTTCTCTGTAGGGCTTGGGGTGGGTTCTCTGTAGGGATCGGGGTGGGTTCTCGGTAGGGCTCTGGGTGGGTTCTTGGTTGGGCTCGGGGCAGGCTCCAGGTACTCAACTGATGGGTTCCAGTTCATTCAACTGGCGGGCCCCGGTTCACTCAGCTGGCGGGCTCCAGGTGGGTGTCTGTCCGGCTTCGGGTGGGTTCTTGATAGGGCATAGGGTTGGCTGCCCAGACAAGTACAAGGGGAATGTTGTCTACGCTTATGTCGACCGTGCTCTAAGCCACAGCTCAGGATGGAAGCAAGTCGATGAAGAACTCTGTAGGGTAAGGCAGGTCCTAGTCAACAATGGCTTCTCCAATGGTTTCGTTGAAGACATCATAAAAAGGAAAGTGAAACACCATTCAACCTCTGAAGAGTCAACTAACACAACACCTGTACCCCCTATTAGACTATTTTACAGGAACTTCTTTTCCACAGCTCATAAAACGGAGGAAAGGGTCCTGAAAGATATTGTTAATAGGAACGTTATCCCTACAGACAAAAATCAGAAGATACAATTGACAATTTACTATAAAACCAAAAAAACAGCCAACCTACTCATGAAAAACTCTCCTGACACAAAGCAGAACGCCTTAAAGGAGACTAACGTCGTCTATGCCTTCGAATGCCCACTTGGGGACTGTAAGCCTCAAAGAACTCAGTATATAGGCAAGACAACAACATCTCTTTCCAGGCGATTAACAATGCATAAGCAACAGGGCTCCATTAAGAAACATCTCTTCCCACAACCAGGCCATCACCAGAGAAGTCTTAACAAACAGCACAGAAATCATCGATAGATACAGCGATAGCAGGCAGCTTGACATCTGTGAGGCACTACACATCAAGAAGTCAACACCAGCAATCAACAGCCAATTGATGCACAACTATATTCTACCCACTTCAAGACTCCGTACCAATATAGAAGCATCAAGAGGAAGTATGGGTCAATAGGCCCTTTGCAGTTACTTCCATTCTTCCCTCTCATTTATCCAATTTATACCCATTGTTCCGTGTTCTGTGTTGGTCAAAAGTTTGTTCACCTCATCCAAAACTGTTGCAACACATCACCTCACCCAAATGCGAGTATATAAGACAATCTGTTTAATGTTAGCATAAGTAAAACTCTGTTTAGTGTTCTCAGGTTACAGTTGTGTGTGTATAAACTAAAGTCTCTGAAAATGTAACAAGTTATTACGAAACGCGTTCAAGCCTCGCGTCAGACTAGAAATAAAAAAGAATTTTGGAGAATTGATTTTTCAATTACCATCCACAGTAAAAATAAACATAAATATTGAGAAAATTCGTTGTAGAATTATTAATCTTACCTTTTCGGTCATATTTAACAATATATACATTATATATAATATATATATATATATTACTCTTATTACAAATTCGCTATTTTCCGCAGTTTGGATCTGGCAACCGTGGTCCCCGTGGCCCGGAACCTTCGGCCTCCACCAGCACTGTTGGGGACCAGCAGACGACATACAGGAGCAGCTCGCTAGCAACATTCCCACCCAAAATGCAGACGTCAAACAACAGCTCTGACCCACGGAGAGTGGATAAGATTGTTAGGTAAGTGAATGTAGGGGGGGGATATTATAGTATAAGATGTTGTTATTGTGTAATGATGAGGATCTGTGTGTGTGGGGGTGGGGGAGAGGAAGTTAGGTCATCATATGGACAATTCGTTCTTATATAGGCATGGGTTTTCTTGTCTGTACAATGCTTTGGTGTGTTCTTTAAAGAATTACTTGTCTGTACACCTATATGGGTGGGATTTAGGGTATTATGGTTCGGTATTTTTGCTTTAGGGGGTATAGGTCATTACGTATACAAGATGCTTAGTTAGCAGACTTAAAACGATAATGATTAATGATAAAACAACCTAATCCATATGACATAACCAAGTCTAACTTAGTAGTACATTTTTATCAGAAAACTAGCTTTGTTGAAATGATTTTTTTACTCCCATTTTGTTTGGAGTTTGAAAAGAAATGGTGAGGGGTTAAACAAAGCTCATTTATTTATTTATATACAAGAAGGTATACAAGATTTTTACTTAATTTTTAGTTTTGACAGATAAGACCATATTAAATCAGATAAGTCATACCACATACACGATGATTTGCAAACAAATGTTAAAACCTATCTAACCTAGGGTTTCCGGGTTCGATCCCCGGTGAAGGCAGAGACAAATGGGCAAAATGTTTTTCACCCTGATGCCCCTGTTACCTAGCAGTAAATAGGTACCTGGGAGTTACAGCTGCTTCCTGGTGGGGGTGTAACAAAAAGGAGGCCTGATCAAGGACCAGGCCGCGGGGACGCTAAGCCCCGAAATCATCTCTAGATAACCTCTCAAGATAACCTAGCTCAACCCAACCTAAACTAACCAAACCAAAAAACAACCTAACGCAAACCAATGGAGTCCAGTACAGCTTAACCTAAGCTAAAACATCTACCATAACAATATAGTGTATACGGTTTTAACAAACGGGAAAACAAGCATCGTCGAATTATTTCATGTCCAAAAAGTACCATCCATAAAGATTGATACGTTAGGATGTATTAGCCAAGATTAGGCTGTGTTTGGCTTGGTTGGTTTGAGTTAGCCTGGGTAAAGTTAGGTAAATTTTCCAATCCATTGGTGAACAGTCATGTGTACAGGGTGACACTTTATTACAGACCGTATTACTTGTGGAAAAAAAGCAATGTAGGACTAACACAACTATTGGAAAACAACAGTTGTGTTATCAGTGTATAGTAGTAATTAATAATTTTATACAAAGTTTGCATAAAAATGTTAGGTATTTCAAGTAACTCACTAGGTTCTGGTAGACCTTTCATGACCTGTATAAAGGCCAGGCTGTGTATGAAGAACTGTTAAAACCATCAACAGGTAATCTACAGAAATGTTTATTGAACTAAATGCAGCTGGCCGAAGCAACCATTGACATGAAACTGTTAGCGGCCAGTTTCATGTTGGTTACGTATTTATGGAAACTCTCCATCAGCGACCACATAACCAGATTTTAAAATGCACTAATAATCTTAATTTAAATATATTATGTTACAGTACTGTATCTGGTTTTCTTCACAAAGTACAGTATTTATATCTTCCTGCTCACAACAGTTGTCTAATTTCCGAGTACCTGTTTACTGCTAGGTGAACAGAGGCATTAGGTGAAAGGAAATGTGCCCAGCCATATCTGTCCTGACTGGGAATCGAACCCAGGATCCCCAATTGGGAGTCAAGGGGGAAGGCAACCGATTTTTACCTGACTTTACCTGAGGGCCACTAACGTATTAGTGGCCTCGACGAGAACAGAAAAGCTTGTCCAAAGTCCCCTCATTTGCCTCGATTTTTTTTTTTCCAGTTGGATTTTAAAATGTAAGAGTTTGGGCAATTATGTTTGGCAGGTAGGCAGTTCCATGGGTTTATAACCGTATGGGGGTAAAAGGCATCTCTGGTTTTCAGTCCTATGTTGTGGTTTGTTGAGCTTTTATAAGACATTGTCTGGATCAACTTCCTCCAAATTGTTCAGTATTTTAAAATTTCAATGAGGTCTGCTAAGTCATGTCTGGTTTGAAGTGTTGTTAGTGCTGTGGCCCTCAACTGTTCCTGGTATGAGAGTTGATTACACTGTGATACCCTCAACTATAATAAATTCTGTTTTCAGACAACATACAGCCTCTTTGCTCAAACCCCTGGACATACTAAACATTTAATCCGTACTCTTCATTCTCTTCACATTATAAGAATAATAATAATAATAATTTTTATTTAGGTAAAGGTACATACATAAAGAGATTTTACAAAGTTTGTTGGCTTTATAGATAGAGCTAGTACATACAATGCCTAAAGGCACTATTATGCAAAGCGTTTCGGGCAGGAAAAAACACTGACTAAAGCTTAAAACTAATGGGTAAAAAGAATAAAATGTGTTGAGTACAAATAAAAATAGAGGTAAAAGAGGGGGAAACATTGTTGAAAAAGCAGCACAAATACAATTACAAATTATTACAGAAAATTACATTCAAACAGCGTTGAATTGAAACAAAAAAAAAAAAAAACATACATGGGTTGACAACAGAGGGGTAAGGTAGGTTACAGGGAATTTATTAGGTATAGCTTCGTTTTTAACTTAAACTGGTTGAGAGAGGTACAGTCTTTAACATGGTTGGGAAGGTCATTCCACATTCTGGGCCCCTTGATTTGTAGAGCATTTCTGGTTTGATTAAGTCGTACTCTAGGAATATCAAAACTGTATTTATTTCTGGTGTGGTGCTCATGGGTTCTGTTACAACCTTCTATGAAGCTTTTGAGATCAGGATTGGCATTATAGTTTAGCGTTTTATATATGTATAATACACATGAGAGAATGTGCAGTGACTTAATGTACAATAAGAGTACAATAATATTGTACTTTCTTATTTAGGGTTTTAATCTTATAATATTTATATTGAGGAATGTGTTTTCTACTCAATTTATGAATTTTAATCCTCCAAATACTGTATTATTTAAACTATGATTATAGAAATTTTAGACATTGTTGTTATAAATGATACTCTATAGTGAACTCATTATTTTTTACTTGCAGCTGAAGTGGTGTGCTTGGGTTGCGCTATACTGCTCCTGCATCAGCTTTGCCAACTCGAGAGTCAATGACGATACGAAACAAATGCTCAGCAGCTTCATGTAAGGTTTATCTTATTTTCTTCTGAAATTTGTATTACTAAACCCATAAAGGTACAACCTGTCCTCATAGCACATCACATTTTAACATTTACTTTACCCAAGGCCAAAACCTGGTGTACTAAGGCAAATAAACATTGCTGCAGGGTAAATACCCTAACTGTGCAACCTGTCCTCTTACAAATTACGTCTGAATTTGGTCGTTTGCCCATATGGCCGAAAATGGACGTAATTTAAAAATAAAAAAAAAAAATAAATTTTAGATTTTGTTTCAAAACAGTAAGTAAAGGGTCCTCTTGTAGGTTAGGAGGGCAGGAAATTGTCCTCAAGTTTCAAAAGCTATGAAAAACGTTAATTGAAAGTTTCCTCTCCTAACCTTTCAGAGTAAGCCAGAGGACTTGCAGAAAACGCAACAGTAAGTCACTTTCGTGAGCCAATTTCATTTCAAATTACGTCCATTTTTGGCCATAGCACGCATTCGAACGAAAAGCGTTATTTTCAAGAGGACAGGTTGAACCATGATGTGCCTGACCACCATCATATGGTGGGTCAGGTCACCTAAAGTCCCAGCTAGCCTGCCATCCCCACTCGTTGAGCCAAATGGAACATCCCAAAATGTTCCCAGCTGGTTGTGTTGTCTTCAAAGATTGCCTTGATAGCATTGCTCTAGTTGTTTGAGCTGCTGCTGTGGGATGTGGTTGCATATTTACACTATATGTGGTTGCATATTTACACTATATGTGTATCTCTATACTGTATACAGTACCCGAATATTCTATAGGGAAGAGAACAGGACTGGGAGGTGAGCTATTGACTACATGCCTGAAAAAGGCATTTCATTACCTGGATCTGGATTTATACCTGGATAAGGGGGTTCTGGGATTTCTTTTCTCCAATCCTGGCCTGGGCCAGGCATGACGTGCAAGATCTTGGTCCAGTAGACTGTTGCTTGGAGTGGCCTGCAGGCCCACATACCCACTTACAATCTGGTTAGTCCAGCACTTCTTGCAGGAAACTCTAATTTTTTCTTGAAGAAATCTTTTGTTCCAGCCATACTTATTTTATTTGCTGGGAGGATATTAAGCAGCCGTGGTCCTTTGATATTCATACAGTGTTCTATGATTCTTGAGGTTATCTTGAGATGATTTCGGGGCTTTAGTGTCCCCGCGGCCCGGTCCTCGACCAGGCCTCCACCCCCAGGAAGCAGCCCGTGACAGCTGACTAACACCCAGGTACCTATTTTACTGCTAGGTAACAGGAGCATAGGGTGAAAGAAACTCGGCCCATTGTTTCTCGCCGGCACCTGGGATCGAACCCAGGACCACAGGATCACAAGTCCAGCGTGCTGTCCGCTCGGCCGACCGACTCCCGATTGTTCCGATTGGCACCGATTGTTCCTGTGGCACCTTTATTCTTCACTTGCGCTGTTCTGCATTTTCTACCATATTGTTCGCTCCACAATGTTATAATATTGTGCAAATTTTGGACCTGGCGTTCAGTTATTTTCCATGTATACAGTACATGATACCTCTCTTGTCTCCTTTCCAGAGAGTACATTTTGGGAGCTTCAAATGGTCCCAATAATTTATGTACTTTATTGTGTTCGTGTGCTGAGTATGTTCTCTGTATTCCCTGTATTTCAACAATCTCTCTTGATCTGATTTGTTATTTTTGGGAGAGCCCTGTCAGTAGTTTTCTGAGCTTACTTGTCAGTCACTCTAATACTGACTTCATGATTTTCTTAAGGGTGACAACAATTGCATAATTGTCTTTTGTTATTAAATGTAATTTAAATTACATTAATCCAACCCATTGTTACTGGCTAATAGTTCTGATTTTCAAAGTAAATTATCATAATTAAACAAATATACATTTATTTGCTTGTCACAAATAATTTACTAATTATATTAACATTTCAGGTTGTCCATTTCTGCAGTTGTGATGTCCTACCTTCAAAACCCACAGCCAATGACACCTCCATGGTCCAATATATAAACAGTTCTATATTATCGATTGTTTTTGGTTGAATGGAAATGTATAATTGCCTCACCATACTTGTATTAAAATTGTACTGCTGAATGACAGTGACAATTTTAGTTTTAATAAGCTAGCTAATGGTGCCAGGTTTGTATTATGATGTGCAATATGGAACAGTGCCAACATTTGATGATGTGCATGAGTTACAAAATGGCTTGGTTTGTTAATCTTTTAATTTGTGTAGCCTGCACTATATAATTCTTGTATTATACTTCCCATCCAAAAGTTTCTTGTAAGCAGCTTGTCTTTTTTTTTTTTCTTTAACAAATGGACAAATTTGTATTGTCCCATAACATTATCATGTCATTCATGCCAGTGTAAAAGGCAATAGCATGAAGGTCAAAGCTTAAAATATCCTGGAATATGAAGTACCATACGAGTTGATCCTCGAGTGACAACCACATTAGTACAGTAGATAGCCTCCATATTAGACATAAAAGGAAGACTTGATCACCACGTTAGAAATAGAAGAGTGAAAGGGAATTGGGAGTGGAATGGTAGGCAGTCAGTATGGGGGAAGGGAGACTTTTGGAGTACAGTACAGTACTGTCCATTCAGTAGAGCCAGGCTGTCACCTGATCGGATGACAGGCAAAGTTATCAGTCACTAGCACTGATTTTATAGTTTTCTTCGAGGTGACATCAACTGCATAATATCTTTTTGATCATGAAATTACATTAACTCCAACCAGTTACTGCTGGCTAATAATTCTTAGACATAAAGGAAAGAGGACAAATCAGAAGAGCATGTTAAGATAGGGCTACCTGAATAGGTTTCAGTTGTGGTTACTCCATCAGAGGGGCGTTCATGGGGATAAAGACAGATTCTACAGTAAATTGTTAATTCCTCTTTTAGGACTGCCTCCTCTTCCATTTTGCTTAGTTATGCAAAGTTGTTGTTTTATGGTTACAAAGGAAACATATCATTCCTTAATTTCTTATTTTAACTATCAGAATTTAGAATTTCTAAAATATAGTTACAGGTTGTAAGTACAGTATGTATAACAGTTTATACAGTACTATACTTAGTGTATAAAATATATATTAATGCAGGCCATATGTATTATTGTTAAATATGTACTTTTGTATTTCATAGTAAACCTTTTACCATAATATATAATTATCTTCTCCTTTCAATAGTGCATTTGTCATGTTGAATTATATGGTACATCAGGATTTTATCGGTACTACCTCGTTGACTGCGTGTTCCTCCCGTTACTATACTGTATACAGTATCTCTCCTTCCCATTACAGTATTACGCTGAGATGCATCAGTAAGGTGGTTGGGCTCACTGGCTCAAGCAAAGAATATTCACTATACAATACTATATTGAATATAAATTCAGTGGATTTTGCACTACATGGGAACCTGGTCCAAGATAGTGATTTTAATCTAGCCAGTGACCTGTACAAGGAATTTGGCATCTAGATAATACAGAATTCCTCCAAGACTGATAATTTTAAATTAATATTACTAAAAAATTCAAACAGTGCTTTTTCCATGGGATTTCTGCATCAAATTATGCACAAATGTATGCCCTATCATGTGCACAAATAAAGGGTGAATGCTGTGTATCTTGTTGTCCATTAAAATCTGTACAATAAAGCTTTCAGTCACATGCCATCCCTAAGGTGTGGCGTTGTTTACAATTTCCCATTTAGAATCCTTTCATTAGAAAGTATTTACACCACAGTATTGTATGTCGAACATAAAAAATATTAAATGTATAAAGATATTGTACACAATGTGATAAATCAATGATATAATCTTTAGAGCAGGACAGCACGATCGAACCAATGTTGTGGATAACCACAGATGTGCACCTTAACCCATGGACTAGGATGTGCAAAAAGTTACACGACCTGGAGTCCACCTGAACTCGCTGCTAATTTGGAGGCGCCAATCTGGTTCTCGGTCCAATTTTTACACATAGCTCGCATACACTGGTGAAGGTAATGGTGTTCTCGACCATACTTTATTATTAACAAAGCGGCAGAAGTTTTTGTCAATAGGAGATACTTTTTCAGTGATGGTAAAGCAATGGATTCATCTACCCATTTAAGCTGTAAAAACCAAGATAGATTCAGTTCAAAATGTAAAAAATTATAATGAAGAACGGGTGATGGGGGGGATCTTACACAAGCTACCACTGGGTACATCAACACCAGTACATTTTCTAAACTAGGTGTGCATGTCAGAATCTGAGCATAATCACCTCAGTTGTGAAAGTAGCCACCAAATAAGCACACACTAAGAATAAATGAAATGTTAAGATGCAACTTTCTAACAGAATTCCGATTAATTAATGTGATGAGATTTGAATCCTTTGGCTTCTAAAAGCTGTAACCAGACATTGTCAGCATCCCGTGCACTATTAAGACATTTAATATTAGAAAATAACTACAGTATAGCCATAGCACCAGAGGTTGTAACTCTTGTAGTATTGCCATAATTGGTGTAGGAATGTGGGGCTACCATTACGCACCAGTGTTGCAATCAACCTTACATCCCCTGCATTATAGGGTTGGGTTGGATTGGGCTAGGGACCCAGCTTCCCAAAATTTATTCACACTTGCCCAGACCCACGAAAGCAAAGTTAAATTGATAGTAACATGGAACGTGTGGAGAATGAATATGGAACAAGTTGGACGTTTAAAGGAAAGCTAAATTTGCCAAGTTAATGGTAGGCTATGATAAAAGTAAATTATATGTGAAGAGCAGAATTTGAGTAAATGTTATAAAACAGGATAACAAAAATTAAAGTGGGTAGGGATAAAATATGCCAAGGATGCTTGTGGAGGTGCACAAACTGGCAGAAGACAGAATCCTGGTTGGGAAGGACCGACTAGACACCAATCCTTAACTGTACGCCTCTGATCACCGAGCAGTGATTGGGTACACAATTGTTAAACGCTTAGTAGGTTGTATTCCGGGGACAACTTGTGGGTAAGGCTTTCCGTGAGCTATAGGAAGGGAAAGCTCTCGGAAGGTTAACAGAAGTACAACAAAAATGTTTAGTGTGATGAAGTGGCAAATGCAGTTGATAAAATAATCATAAATTTATCTTTTGGACGTAAAGTTAATGAGTGAGAAGTCGAGATAACGATAGGGAAAAGGAAGGGCACGTAAGTAAGTAATTATCAAATGAAGGCACCAAACCGGGAACGCTATGTAGCAAGGGGAGGGGCAAGAAAAGGAGAGTATAATGAGAGAGAAACGTATGTGAAAAGGTAGTTTAAGAAGAAATAAACAGGAAGCAAATAGAGATAGGAGAATAATAATAAAAAAATAATGTAAATTTTCTAAGAAGCTAGGCAACTGTTGGTTACTTTTTGGGACAGGTCAGTACAGTAGCTGGCCAAGTAGCAGGGGGATCTCGAAGCCTAACATCAGGCTTCCTGTTTCAGTGACTATAGAAAACCACACCGCCATACACAGGATGAGTACGGAATACATTAATAAATTACTGCTCGCCAAGTAAGTACGACTGCGCCACGGGACCACATTTTAATAATAATAATAATAATAATTTTATTTGCAGGAAGGTAGAATGGGTTGGTGAGATTACAAAAGATTGGTAATTCATGCAAAGCCACTAACTAACACGCATAGCGTTTCAAGCAGGGTATTTGGGTATAATACCGCCTGCTACAGAGTGCATATAATTTAATGAATAAAACAAAGTAATGTAAATAATAGTGTTATGCACAATAAATCCTGTATGTGGTGTAGTTCTGCTGAACGAATTTGGCTCAACTGAAAGGTCTATACATTAAATTCCCGCGGCAAGATAGAAACGTTTAGGCACGTTTCCTTTCATGTCACACTGATCTTAGTTTAGTTCATTTATTATGCACCCCATATCCATCCTGTGGGTATAAGAAAAAAATGGTTATGTTGGCACATAATGGACTCAGGGACTGAACCACAAAATTCAATTAGCTAAGCAAGTTACTGTCTTGATGAGCTAGTTACAAAATTCAGTGATGATCACGACATCTCCCATGCCAGCCAAGTATGTTGCATCCAGCTGCTGCTGTTGTTTTAGATCCAGCTACTCAGAACAAAAAGTTCCAAGCAGCACGGGCTATGGCGAGCCCGTAAGTGAAGGCTCTTTGGCGCTATTATCTGTAGCTGATACTGGAGATCGCATCCACTGGGTGCCTTGGGTAAATGTGCACTTAAGTTCCTAAAGGAGGTGGGTGAGGAACTCATTAGGCAAACTAGAGACTCAAGAAACTAATGAGATGATCTGACACCACTGTAGAAACTAATGCGATGATCTGGCACCACTGTAGAAACTAATGCGATGATCTGGCACCACTGTAGAAACTAATGCGATAATCTAGCACTACTGTAGAAACTAATGCGATCTGTTTCTGCCCGAAACGCTGTGCGTACTATATAGTGACTACAAGAACGTAAACGGGGACTGATCAAATCGTCTACTGCAGTTTCGGATACAAACACCATGCTATGTACCCTCACAAACTCAATGTACCTCCTCGTATATATATAAATAAATAAATAAATAAATAAATAAATCTGGCACCACGGTACGAACTGACAATAAATAACCTGGCATCACTGTAGCAAATGACAAGAGATAATCTGGCACCAGTGTAGGAGTTAACTTGATATGATCTGGCATATCTGTAGGAGCTAACCAGAGAGGATGTGGCACCACTGTAAGCATGTAAACAAAGCTTGTGTGCATTCGTCGTCCTCCTCCTCCTCGGTCGCTTCGACCAAGGTATTTCATTTACTAACCTGTGATTAAACAGATTGCAACGTGGAATTTACCCTGAGGTGTATGACAGTTGTCATTGTGTATTTTATGGAGGGAGGTGCTGTCGGGCTAGCCTCATCACGGCTCTTGTGGATATGTTCATGAGGCTCCCATGTTTTCTTGCTTTGCAATATGTAAAATTCCTGGATTAGTATTAGGATTTGGTGGAATGTTAGGCTCTTGGCATAATTGTTTCTGTTGTAAAATCCTGCGCTTGGCATATAGTTCCCAGCTGTTTGGGACAAGAAGTTTGCTAACAGTATATGGTGCTACATAGCCTTCCCGGTTTGGTGCCTTCTTTTGATAATTACTTACTTGCTAACAGTATCAAGGTTTCCCTAAGCCAAAGTGTGACCCGGTCCGTCTAATTACTGCAAGCTACCACAAGCTTCACTAAGCTTCCTGGTAATATGTTAGTAATGAATAAATATGATATATTTACTCATTATAATGTTGGTGCTGAATGTACAACACGAAAAAACATAATTTTAATCTGAAAAAGTATCTTTTTATAAAGAAATTAGACGAAAATAAAGAGCTGGTGACGCCAAATCAAGTCAGCGATCCAAGCGTCAGTTAGGTTAGGTTAGGTTAGGTCAACCTAACGTAACATATCATATTTATTCATTACTAACGTATTGCCAGGAAGCTTTGTGAAGCTTGTGGTAATTAGACGGACCCATGTGACCATCCTCAGGATGCAACCCACAATAGTTACCTAACTGTCTGGTAAACAAAGGCCTCAAATATAAGGAAATGTGCCAAAATGCCTCATCCTGTCTGAGAATCAAAATCTGGTAGAATCTGTCATGTGCTATTATCAACCCGTTCTCGCAAATTCGTAAAGTCAATATTGACTTATTAACTACGTGCATAGGTGATATACTAAACATAATAGATACCCTTAAAAAGATTCATAGAAAACACCGACCTTACCTAACCTAGTTAGTATCTTAAGATAAGCATCTTATTGCTTCGTAATTACAATTATTACTTAACCTATACCTATTATAGGTTAGGTAATAATTGTAATTACGTAGCTATAATATGCTTATCTTAAGATTCTAACAAGGTTAGGTAAGGTCGGTGTTTTCTATGAATCTTTTTAAGGGTATCTATTATGTTAAGTATGTCACCTATGCACATATTTAATAAGTCAATATTGACTTATTAAATTTGCGAGAACGGGTTGGCTATTATGTATAATAGCATTTACTTTTCTATTGCAATTTATATTAAAATCTGTCAGATTGTATTCCTTTCCCCAGTTTTTCAGATTTAAAATTATAACTGTCATTAAAAATATTGATCATAAAGAAGGGTAAAATACAATCAATATCTTATTGAAACTGGTACAATTGAGGGATATCAATCTTGCGTCACAATTCATTCACACCTACAAATTCAGGAATGTTTATAACGAACACAGTACAAGACCTGGTTATGTAACCTAAATTCTTATCTTATCTTATTACTTTATCACTTCTTATGCTATCTCTTTATTGTGCTTGCCATCTGGTGGTGGTCTTGGATGATAGCTCGGCAGGTCAACTAGCAATGAGCGGTGTGATGCTTGAATGTCTCTCTAAGGCTGAGTATCACTTGGAGAAGATTTTCAATATAGATAAATGAACCTGGATTGAGTTTTTCTCCAGTGTTTCACTTCCTCCGCTATAACACAGGGAATGTTCGTTTGAAATTATCCACATTGTGCTGAGGAGTATATAATTATTGACATGACCTGGCTGTTGTCTTGTCCTGTCCTTAGAAAGAGTAGGACATTACCTAAGAAACCAAGTGGCCTGCTCAGAAAGAAGCTTTTAATTTACACTCAAAGACTTATCTTTTTTGTATTATTAATATATGTTTTACAAAGGTGAATACAGTATTTATATAGTGCATATAAGAACATAAGTAGGCATCACCACAGCAGACCCCTATTGGCATATTCTGGAACATTGCCAACCCCTCTTTCCCATGTATTTATTGATCCTTTTTAAAGCTAGTTACACCATTTCTCTTCATGAAATTGGTTGACACTGTTTTCTACTTCCCCTACCATCCTGTTACCAAACCAGTACAGTACTTCCCCAGTAAAGCGGACTGCATTATTTTTCTATACAAAATTAGTGCTTGTGTTACTTTAAATACATAATTTTTTCAGGTTAAATAGAATGCTGGCAAAGCAGTGGAACTTTGATCAAGCATTTTTCTGCAAGTGATAAAAATATGGCTGAACAATTATCCAAACGATTATGCCAAGATCCCACTCAACTGTATGAAGAACAAGCTCAAGTTATAAATCCCAATGAAATCAGAAAAGCTATCCTTCATGATTTAACAGAGCCTTTAGTGTTTCGAGGTTACCTTTCAACTTTTAAATGTGAGGATGAGCATGTCTCCCAGTGGAAATGTATGCAGTGGGATGCCTCAGATTGGGTTAAACTTTTTGAAGAAAAGGTACTTAAGTTTCGTGTAGGCATGAGATTAAAGGATAAGACAGTGCTTTCTGCTCCGCAGTGGGAAACTGCTTGCTATAAGGCAAATATGACATATTCTGAGTTTCTTCAGTGGTCACAAGGGAAGAGAAGTTGCACAACTTTTTGTAACCAAGAAGTGAATTGTAATGATCACTGGGCTTATTTTGATTATTTTTATATGAAGGACATTGAGAATGTTAACCAGGTGGAAGGTGCTTTGGATTGGGGTTTATTTGGCTTTCCTGACAGAGGAGTTCAAGACAGTACTCTTTGGATAGGAACGACTGGAGCAAACACCCCATGTCATATAGATACATATGGCTGCAACCTTGTGGCACAGTTAATTGGTAGAAAAAGATGGGTACTCTTTCCCAGAACCCAGTCTGAGTACCTATCACCAACACGTATTCCATATGAAGAATCTAGTATATATAGTGAAGTAGGCTTTCCTCATCCTAGTGTGGCCTCCCATCCCAAATTAATCTCTAGTACTCCATATGTATTCACACTTGAGCCAGGGGATGTTTTGTTTGTTCCAAAGCAATGGTGGCACTTTGTAGAGAATTTAGACTTTGCAGTGAGTATAAACACCTGGTTAGAACTTCCTTCTGATCATGAGGAGCGGGTTAAAGAGTCACTAGTGATGTATCAGGTTGCCAGTTTGTGTCAGGGATTAGAGTCTTTGGACCTTATTAGTTCTGTGTTTAATCCTAATATGTTGGATGTTGCTACTATGACATCATCTGAACTTTTAAAACTTTTGACTAAGCGTGTGTTTAAAAATTCAGTTCCGAGAGAAACTACTGCTGCTAAAAGTAACTGTGAAGAGGTAATCAGGGAGAAACCAATGAGAAAACAGTCTTTGATAACAAAAGATTGCAATCTTTTGTTAGACAGAAAATGTACTGATTTTAACTGGAAAGATGAAAAGTGGTGTGCAAATCACAACATTGAAAAGGTTTGCAGTATGTCATTTTTGGATTACATGCATTTAGTTTTTGGACCTGGTTCAGGAAATTGTTGCATGGAGACTGAGGTATCTATGAAAAAGAGAGATTCTCTCACCAAGGCTCAAGATGCCAATTCTAGAGACGATGATGATGATGATATAAATTTTTCACAGATTAAGCTTTTGGTTGATTCCTTTACTGATCAAAGGGTTATAAGCATTTTGAAAATGGTTATAGATGAAAAATTAGCAGAAAATTGACATATGGTGTTAGTCATGTTTTTATGACAAAATAATATATATATATATATATACTGTATATATATAATATATATATACATACATACATATACACTGTATAATGACCCAATTCAGGTATTTTTGAGAGATTAGGTCCCGATCATAAGTGCTATAAAAAAAGATTGACTGAATTTTATACCAAATAAATAATTAGACTGTTCAGTCTAAAAAGAAGTTGATGTAAGCAGTATATGAGTATAGTGTCAAATATACATGAAAGAGTGTCAAATATACCATGAAAGATGAATAGACTTTCAATATTAAGTTGTAAATATACATGAAATTGACAAAAATCCTTTACTGCATATAATGTATCACTAACTAAAAGCTATCTTAAGTAAGTACTAAATGGGTTGAACTATCCAAAAATCGTCAACTCTTTGTAGCCTTGGATAGATCAACTGGTTAGTACATTAAATAGGCCTTTAGTTTAATGATACGTATAGAATTTTTGAAACTGTCCTTTGTATTTATAGCTTATAGCAATTCTTTATTCCAAAGGCACACTATGCATCAATAAGAGTCTCCCAAGAATATGAATTTTCCATTATAATACGCTGCAGACAGTTTCAGTCACATGGCTTGTGAGTGATACAAGTGTTCACACATTCTCATGTGTTAACTATACTTTCTATTTTGGGCGGGGGGAAGGGGGAGCTTTAGTGATAGTTGGTGTTGCAAATTGAGGTAAATATTGTATATAACCCATTCATGGTACAGTATATTAAAAGAAAAATTAATAACAAGTCAATTGATAAAGAATTTAATGCGACCCGTAATGAAATATCACAGAAAATAAATATTTTATGCAATTATTTTTTATTTTTACCTTGTGATAGAACAATTATTTAAGAATATATATATACATGTAAAGAATGACCTACAACATACACAATTGTTCAAATGTAAAATTGGCAATAAAAACCTAAGCTAACAAAATTATTTTAAACATTCACATTTAGCTGCTTACACTTAATTCACTTGAGGGGTGTGTGATGGATGACTGCCTGGAAAATAGAGAGCCCCTATGGCTTTCTGGAGCTTACCGGGCTGTTACGTATGTATTAGACCATCAGTCGATTGAAGTTCTTTTGCCTACTGGGGACCACAAGCCAGAACCTGGGCTCCTCAGAGAGGCTAGGGGAGCAATGGCCAATGGAAACCCCCATGTACATATTTGGAAGCATTCCCTATCTGTCATTGACCGGGGTTGGCACCCAAAAAGGTAGGCATCACAAAACAAACCCTACATGGTAAAAAAAATATTTTTGCTGCCCTAAGACCGAACAGAGAAAAGAACCCCCCTCAATTCTAAGACAAGCAAACATCACACTCCGCCGTCGCGTTGCTCATCTGCACAGCCCCCCACCCAACACCCCTGGACCTCCCACACCATTCAGTTCTCGGCTGATGTCTGACTGTGGACGTTGTCGACTTTGGCCTCTCATGCTGTGCGGTCTTGTGTCTTGTGGAGTTTTTCTGAGGTGCGGTGCACAGGCCAGGAGTAATTTATCAGTACTGGGGCTGCATGTGCTTAGGGTCACCTTCCCTAAGTGCTCTGTAAGTACTACCCTTGCATTCTGGGGTTCCCTTCCACAGGGCGATCAGGAACCGCTTCCGTAGGGATCTTTTGCTGCTCGGCAATTGCACACCCTTGGGGTCAGCTGGGGGTTTTCATTTCTTTTGTTTTGCCTTGGGTTGGAAGTGGTATCGTTGCTGGTAGGGGCGCATATTACTGTGCAGCTTGTCTCCCATTACATACAGTGGCCGGTTTGTTCCTCCTGGAGCCGTTGTGCTTTCGCAGGGGTTTTCTTTTTCTTTTTGTTTATTTTGTTGCTGCAGCATGCTAGGTTGATTGCTCACCCGGATGCCCTGAGGCTGCCACGTTTGGGTTATAGGGACCCGAACTTGAGGGTGTTAGTCGCTTTGACCTTGATTTCATCCGCGCTATCAAGTCCTTCCCTTGTTGGTGTTATCCGTCCTGCTTCCCCCCCCCCCACCCTCCCTGCTCCCAAACGTCTGAGGGTTTAGGAGTTGGGGCAGGGTTTAGACGGAAGTGAGACTCGGGCGGCTTCAGGGGCTGCCCCATCCGGATTGACAACTGAGGCATTTGAGCCGGTTCCTCCTGCTGAAGCTTCTGCGTTTTTACCAGACTTCACTGGGGTGCACTCTGGCACATTTTGCCTGCATACCACTAGGACCTGCTTGTGGCTCACTGCTTGATTTTCTCACTAGAAATCGTTCCATTAAAGATTGTTTTCCCTTCTTTGCAACACTTGTCTGTAGTGAGGCATCACATTGTCATTGAAAAGGTTAATGCAACGGCTTACTACAGCTTTCTCTGGGTAAGTCGTTTCAACAAAAGTTTGCATTTCTTCCCACAGCCTACACCACTTCCTAATTGTTGAGGAAGGGACATTCTCTACTGCCTCCTCCTCCTCTGAAGAAATATCCTCAGCTGCCTCTTGTTGCTGCTCCTTTTGAAGGGCTTGGAGTTCTTCGGTGGTCAGTTCATCGCTGTGTTCCTCCACCAACTCCTCCACATCAGCACCATCCAACTCCAAGCCCATTTTCCAGCCCAGAGTAACAATTTCCTCAACAATAGGCACTTCATTTGCAGGCTCAAACCCCTCGAAGTCAAGTTCTGAAACACCTTCAGGCCACAATTTTCTCCAGCCAGAGATCAGGGTTCTTTGAGTCACTTCTTGCCAGGCTTTATCAACGAGTTTTAAAGCACTACAAATGTTAAAATGTTTTTTCTAGCACTCTTTGAGGGTGAGGTTTGTGGCATCAGTCACTTCAAAACATTTCTGGAAAAGTGCCCTTTCATGAAGTTTCTTAAAATTGGCAATGATTTTCTGGTCCATAGGCTGAATTAGAGGAGTGGTGTTATGAGGAAGGAACTTTATTGTGACAAAATTAAATTTGTCCAACAATGCATCTTCCAAGCCTGGAGGATGAGCAGGAGCATTGTCGAGAAGAAGCAGGGCCTTGAGTGGCAAACTTTTCTCCTCCAGATATTTTTCTATGGAAGGGCAAACCGCCTCATTCACCCACTCCATAAAAAATAGCCTAGTCACCTATGCCTTATTATTACCCCTCCACATCACACATGATATTTACCAAGAAAGAGGAAGAGATATTTGACATTCAGTACCTTCCTCCCTTGGGTAAAAGTGACTACAGTATGTCTTTTTGGGAATAAAGTATGCAATGCGTTATAATCTGGAAGAAAATGAGGTTGGAGTATTTGAAAAACCTGATTTCAGGAGAGGTCATTATGGGGAACTCAAGACATTTCTTTAAGGACTTTGATTGGAAAGACTTGCTGTTAGGACATGAAGTAAATGAGATGTATGTCAAGTTTTGTGAAAGACAGTGGCACCTCTATTAATGAGTGTAATCCGTTCTGGCACCGAGCTCGTTATGTGAGTATGTGACTGTGGCATGCTTTCCCTCTTGAATTTTGGCAAACCTCTCCTGACCATGTTAGGCACATACCCCACAGGAATTAATGCAAAGTTGGGTGAGGCTAGCCCAAAGCATCATGCCTCCATCTTCAGACAGACATTCTAAAATATATAGAATGTCTAAATGTATGTATATTTTGTATTAACTTGAATAATTTTGTATTAACTTGAATCATTTTGTATTAACTTGAATCATTTTGTATTAACTTGAATCATTTTGTATTAACTTGAATCATTTTGTATTAACTTGAATCATTTTGTATTAACTTGAATCATTTTGTATTAACTTGAATCATTTTATATTAACTTGAATTGTTGTTTGCTTTGTTTTATTGTGTTTGCTTGTCATATTCCTCAACTATAACAAAGTGTTCCCAACTTATAAAACAAATTAATGAATTAAAAATTTACATTAAAACTTGTACACTCTTTTTGTTTTAGTAAAATTAATGATTTGAAAGGTTAACAAAATATTTTAGTAGATTTAGGATTGTTTTTACTACTCTTACATGCAGTATTACTTTGCAGAGAAATGGATGTGTTTGCAGTCTCAAGAATGCAATAGCAGTACAGTCTAAGCAATAAAGTCTTACTTTAAATTGCATTACACCACTCTTCAATTCAATTTAGATACAGTACTGTATATGAGAAAAAATGAGATGGAGAGAAAATATAGCCAGTTGTTTGTAATACACCGTAGGATGGGTGCACTTGATACATTATGTGCGTTTTTCGACTTTAAGATTAAGGCTTCTTGTATTTTGACAGTTTGATGCCTTGAATTAAATGACAGTCATGGCAGTGTGTGAAAATTGCATTCAGACCTTATCATCTCTCTCGGTTAAAAATTGTATTGTGTTTTTACGAGTGGTGTTGCATCGTTTTGTGAAAATCAAATTTGCTGAGACTTGTGCATCGTTCTTACGAGAGTCGCTGCAATCAATACCTCCAAACTTTCATGCCGAGTTCCTTGATAAATTAGCTCCAATATTTGATAGTATCACAAATTGTCCTTTAGATAAAAATGTCCTTGACATTATAGATGAATTGGCATTAATATTATTATCACCATCTATAACACAGATTGACGTTGGTAAGTTTAAATTCCCAACAAGAAATCCTTCAAAATATTTAATGGCCTTACAACGTGCTAAAAACATGAAAATGCTAATCAGTTATAGAGAAAATGTTTGGAAATACTCTTTAAGTAAATTTGAACTACTTTCCTCAGCACTTATTAAAATGCCAATGCTCAGGCACCTAACATTACGTCACATTAGAATTGACAGTTGTAAAATTAATGATCTGTTATTGGGCTTAGCTTCGAATAGCCCTCATCTTGTATATCTAGACATGAAGTATGGAATGATTACGGACTCAGGACTTGATCCAGATTCTGTGGGAAAGTTTGGGAAAGTTGCAAACTTTGCCGATTGTATTCCTGCCTTGCTAAACATGAAACGTCTGCAACATCTCAATGTTAGTGAAACATGGCTGACATATGTAGGCATTAAGGCAATAGTAAAACATTTACCTCTTCAAAGACTAGATGCTATAATAGATGGTGGATATGATCTCCAGGCTGTAGTGATAAAAGACTCACTGCTAGCATCTGAAGATACCACATTATCATTACCTAGAACATCATATACTTTTACACCTGGGGAAACCAATGTTCAAGCCATCTGTAAAGCTTGCCCAAATCTGGAGTGCATAACTATACAACATTGCAGTGTAGGGGATATCAGGTCTTACTTTGAAAAACTGGCAAACTTGCAGCATTTAAAAAAGGTCACTCTATGTGGCCTTGAATGGGACCTCCTCCGCTCACATATAGCCATCAATGAAGACCCCATGCCTATCAGCAATCACGTGACAGAAGTAACACTGACTGAACCATGTCAAGCTGATGCATATCATTTAGGTGCTCTCTCAATATGCTTTCCTCAAATAACTCACCTGTGGGTAATTGGGCCACGGCAAGACAATAATAATGACGCATGGGATGGTGGCCGAGTTTTCAGCAATCTGATGCATCTCTACTTCCAAGGAGAAGTCTTTACTGAAGATTTTGGTAGAATTGAGGTAATTTGAATAGCAAAACAATCATTAATTTGATGTGTAATATATTTCTTGTTTTTTGTCTTTGTACAGTATGAAGTTTTCTCTAACATTTTTAACCCATTCGCTGCAAAACAAAAAACAAAATCTTTGGTTACTTGAAGATCAAAAGCTGTTCAGTGCAATAAACAAATTTCCATGCCCTGTAATATTCAATCAGATTTTTTAGTCTTTAAAGCTGGCACCTGCACACAAGGTATATGATATTATCTGTTGATTGAATCAAATGTCATCCTAAGTGGTAGCACAAAAATTGCCAAGAATGCTGACTTTAAACCCCCACATTGACAATTTAATTATCCCTTTGAATGTGTCTACTTAATCTAAATGTTTTGTTCATTGTGACATGTGTAATAGTGATACACAGCACTGTACTGATATACAGTATACTGTATATCAGTATACTGTATATCACATATATACAGTATACATATATGGTAATTAAGAATATTGAAGTTGATTTACAAGCTTAGTTATATCGTCTTTCTAGAAGGAAGCTCTCAGTAGCTCCCCAAGCTTAGTCTGCTAGGGGTTCAGGTCCTGGCCTATCTCGACGACTGACTGATGTGGGCTCCTAGTCGGTCCTCTTGTCTGCTCGCCAAGGGTGTGGTTCTTTCCCAGCTCGCTGGGTTTGGGTTCCTGGTGAACTGGCAGAAGTCCCATCTGGTTCGTCGTGCTGGCTTTTTATGCGGTTCTGCCTCTTCCAGCTGGTCGGTCCGGTTCAGTACACGGTTGGTTCGGTCTTCTCTATTCTTCGTGTCTGGTCTTTTTGATGTGGGTTTATCACCATTTGTTTGGTGATCAGGTGGCTTCATTGATAGTGTCCCATCTGAGTGCTTTGTCTTGGCAACAGTATGAAGTTTCCTGGCGCTCTTTCTGCTATTTTCTCTCTCTTCGTAGGCTATCTTCTATTTCTGATCAGGTTGTCTTGTTCTTTCTGTCTTGGCTTTTTCAGGACCATCATTTGTTGTGTAATGCTGTCTCCTCATATCTGCGGTGCAGGCGGAGCCGCTTCAGCTTGCGTTCAGGGTAGATGTCTGTTCTGCCCCATTCCATAAGCTTTCTCATGCTTTGTTTCACCTCCGGCCTGCTCATTCGCCACCTGAACCAACCTGGTCCATGGACAGGGTGCTCTTCTATCTTCCTATCTTCAGTTTTTGATGGCCTCTTTTATTTAAGATTGTTTTTCCAAGGCTCTGTTTTTGTTGACATTGGTCTCTGGGAGTCGGGTCGGTGAGCTTTATGCTCTCCTCTGGCACAGGGGTTTCTGCTGTTTTGGTCCTGGTGGTGTGCTTGATACCTGATTGATGGGGTTCTGGGAGTTCTTCTACTCCCCAAGCCCGGCCGAAGGCCAGGCTTGACTTGTGAGAGCTTGGTCCACTAGGCTGTTGCTTGGAGTGGTCTGCAGGCCCAAATATCCACCACAGCCCAGTTGGTCTGGCACTCCTTGGAGAAAATTATATAGTTTTATCTTGAAGATGTCCACGTTTGTTCCGGCAATATTTCTTATACTCGCTGGGAGGATGTTGAACAACCGCGGACCTCTGATGTTTATACAGTGTTCTCTGATTGTGCTTATGGCACCCCTGCTCTTCACTGGTTCTATTCTGCATTTTCTTCTATATCGTTCACTCCAGTATGTTGTTATTTTACTGTTTAGATTTGAGACCTGGTTCTCCAGTATTTTCCATGTATTGAATATATTACAGTATTTGAAATCTCTCTCGTCTCCTTTCTGGTGAGTACATTTGGAGAGCTTTGAGACGATCCCAATAATTTAGGTGCTTTATCACATCTATGTATGCTGTATATGTTCTCCTTGTCTGTTATGTATATTGTTTTCCTTGTCTTTGGTTATGTAGCTCCAGGGGCTCCCCACAGAAAACAAAGTTGAATGTAATGAAATGCCATTTTCTGGGTGAGCCCCGGAGGCTCGCTGGCAACTCTCCCTCCCTCTGGTTGGTGGTTTTTGTGTTGTTTGGTGATTAGCTTCTGAACTGGAGTTCTAGGTTGCCGGCGCGGGGATGGGAGGACTGCACGGATGAGCAATGTGGCAGTGGAATGTGACATTTACGTGTTTGCTTGTTTCCTTGGGATTTGAGGGAGTTCTGCCTCTATTTTCAGTGTTTATTTGTAATTTTCTTACCATGTGGAGTTTGTTTTGTTATGCCTACCTTTCTGGGTGCCTAACCCCAGTCAATGGCAGATAAGAAAAAAAACAACCACAGGGAGGTTTTCTAGGGCCATTGCTCCCTGCACCTCTCTGAGGGGGCCAGGTTCTGGCTTGTGGTCCCCAGTAAGCTGAACTCCATAGACTAATGCCCTGGTCTAATGTATCATATATTAGCCCGATAGCTCCAGGCAGCCTCCGGTGCTCACCCGAAAAATGGCAATTCATTACATTCAATACTGGTTTTTTTACTTGAAATCTAATAAAAATAAGAAAAAATATACAGTATTGTGTATATTTCCTGCAGCAAAAGGGTTAAATAGCATACTGTATTTGCATTCTGTCTCTGAAATATTGTACTATATGTATGTAAAAGTAAATATTACTGTATTTCTGGATTACAGTACAGTACTTAGAATATGTGTACCGTATGTTCTCTCTTTCCTGTATAATGTACATGGGTTTATTTTTTTTACTTCAGAGAGAACAAGGATTACAAAATATGTTTGATGTGTTGCTTACGTGGTGTAGAAATCTGAGGAGCCTTACCCTCTACACAAATTCTATTGAAGGTGACAAGGTATGCCTATATATTTATAATCATACAGTACTTGTGTACATTGAGTGCAGATTCTGTTGTGTGTATTTTTTGAGACTAAAAGATATGAATAGCTTCAGGGATCCTCTGGGGCTAGCCCAGAAAATGGCATTTCATTACTTTCAATGTTGGTTTTTCATTAGGCATTATCATGCATTATTTCAGTTATATTTTGCCGTGAAAAGAAATGGTTTACGGAGACTGGAAGAATTAAGAATTGGATTGCAACACGATCTAGATGTGGATGTTATCTTCGCTATACTTCAAAGAACCAATGATCTCAGAATTCTTGGTCGAACAGATTGGTGGACCTCGATAAATGAAGAATCAAAACTATTTCTCATTGATACATTTAAAGCAAGGTAAAGAGCATTATATGTAATAAAGTTAAGATTTTTGTGGTCATTAATTAATATGACTCATGAATTTGGAGTTTGTATCATTTATCTATATATTTTTATTGTTTTTTGTGTCATGTCTGTTTATTTTGCCAAGTACAAATAATTCTTCTTTTATGAGTAATAATCTGAAAAGCTAAGTATTGAATATGTTGTCTCCACATGGCCTAACCATATGTACATTCTGCACCTCTCGCCTCGCAACACTTTCAAGCTATCTTACTTCTGTGAGTTCCATTATGTTCATTAGAACTGCACTGGTGGCATAGGAATCCTTTCACATTGTCCTTCCAGGGGGACAGGAATGTGCTGGGTGGGGGGGGGGCTGTTGGAAAAATTCCTTTCTACACAGAATGAAAGACTCATTCATCAAAATTAAAGTCCTACAGAAATATTTTGATACAGTAATAGCAGAGGATACCTGGCGTTGCCCAGTGGCTCTTTTAGTACCTGGTCTATGCCTGAGCTAAGAATATTGGTTATACCCTGCACACTGGGGGCAGTTAGGAAACTCCAGGACCAAAATTGTATAAGTTTTTGTGTCATCAATGACCCCCTAGGGCTGTGTGAACCCACTTATCACTTGTGACTATTTTCTGGAGGCTCCATACTATCATATGGAGTTTGACTGAATTTCAGTCAATAGTATCCAAATGCATACCAGACACATATGCACATGAAGATACATATTCAGATTCATTGGTATAAATGTCAAAGGATGATTGACTAACCAGTTATGAATACTGTAGTTAATTTCGTTCATAACATCGGCTTGATATTTCCATAGGAAATATCAAGCAGTGAACAATATTTTATTCTAGTAAAACATAGGTCTGTAACATAAAACAGCAGAGTAGGGATTTAGATAACAGGGGTAGGTAACAGAGAAGATAGAGCATTATCAGGGGAAAGCGCCAAGCCATTACGACTATACTGCATAGCACTTGGAAGGGGGGTCAGGATAAGGACATGGGATGGGAACCGGGGGAGGTGGGGGGGTAAGGAATGTTGCCCAACCACTTGGATGGTCGGGGATTGAACAGGTGGCAAGCCAATATATGTTGCGAATAAGTTGAAGGAAGTGTCTCAAAGTTACAAAGGAAGTGTCTCAAAGTTACAAGATCATTTATTGAACTGGTGTGTTGAGAGAGTGCTAGTTAGTATAGAGAATATGCAGAGCAAGAGCATGACATATACAGTACCTAGAATTAATACAATTAGATCAACAGGATGATAAGGAATTTAGTTTAAAGTTACATTAGATAAGCATAAATTTTGTGCAAAGGAATTGTTAGACGAGAATATAGTGGGAAGGAGATATTAAATGAAGCCCTTAACTTTATAAAATGTCATTAGAATAGAGATACAGTAATTTGATTATTGATCATTAGAAAACAGCATCTTGTCATAAAATAAAATTCTTAGTTTTGCTCTTTATTTCTTAGCTGCTGATTACTGTGTAATGACATTAGGACCAGAAAATGTTCACCTTAATTGGACGTATTAAAACGTCATTGATATGCATATACAGTACAGTAATGAACACAAATTATTTCAGATATAGGAATCTTGAGGTGTATGGACTGGATGATTACTGTGATGTCGCTCATGAGCCACGGCCTCTGAAGAATAACTCCAGTAATGTTCCATGGTAGCCTGTGCTATTCATCATTCAAAGGTCGTTTATTGCTATGCAGTGTATAACAGCGTATTGTATGTTTCCATCAAGTGCTCATATTTTTATATATGTTTTCACTGTTGTCAGTTGAAGATATACTGTATAATGAAGGGTCATGTTGATCTGTCACAAGAATAGCATCTGGGTTTGATATGTTTAAAGTCTATTGTAACTCACTGTTCATGTACTGTATGGCCATTTTGGAAGAAAATTTTAGATTTGGTAAGTAGTACCAAATAACTAAATCTTCATAATTTAACTTTTTTTTGTATTGCATAATTACAATTTGTTGAAATGTATAAATGCTTATGTACATTATTTATTTTGATGTATGATGACACATAAGTCCAAAGACCAAGTAAGTCATTTTTCAGTTAAATGTAATCATCCACTTAAGCTGAGCAGCATGGCCTAGCCAGGCTATAGGACTTATGACTACTCTAAGACCAAGCATTATAACAATACAGTAAGAGTCAGCTGAATATAGAGTTGGATTAAATCATTTATATATATATGAAAGATTTATTTAAAAATTCCACTTGCAACATTGCTTAGTTAACCACTGAACTGCGCAACGCGCCTGCAGGTGCTCGACGGGGGGTGCGCAACGCGTGTCCGGGATCTTACAGTTCTGTGAAATGATTGAACAGTCCAGGTTGGCTGAATATAGTCTTACCTGAAATAAAAGACTGTAGATCTGCCAAGTGAGCCAGTATTGAATTAGCAGGCTTTACTTGTTTTTAATTTGATTAGACTTTTCAGCAAGATGGAATTAATTTACAAGTTCTGACTGTATTTATACCATCATTTGATATATCCTTCTGAGAGACAGACATGCACTAAGTCCTCCATACTGTCACAGTAAGATATGATTTTCTATATACCTATGTTACTTAACTAAGATTTTAAGAGCTGATAAGAATAGTGTCTTATAATGGCTGCTCTGAAATGATGAGCCATTTTTTATACTGTATTATATGATCCCCCTCTCCCAATTTGTCCTTAAGGGCAAAGCATCCTAAATTGTAGATGCCTGCAAGGAAAATTCAGTGTTGACAAGGGATATTAACAGATTAATAAGGATTGTAAACATGAATGTACAATTGCAAGAACAAATAAATAGTTTATGATCCCTTGAAATACAGTAGGGTAAAATAATTTTCTCCTAGACCAGGGTCACACATTTTGTAAACGTTTCAATCTGTAAAGTGATGCTCTATTTGTCCCTCATAGACAAATTAATGAATGCATAAAATTTTACACCTGAAAACATGAGCAATAAGCATTAATTACTGCATTATAATGAAAAGCTTGAATACTCAGAATATTTTTACACTTGTTAGGAATACTTCATATATTCAGCCAAGATTGATAAATTGGAAAAACTTTGGAATCTCTTGAGTGACATTTTTAAGAATTGTAGTTAAAAACACAGTACTGTACTGTACTGTTATTATTGAAAATCAAAATTTAATGTCAAGAAGAAAGTTGATGTGGAAAGCTTATATGTTGAACTCTTGCACTGTGCAGATGATGAGTCACAATAACGTGGCTGAAGAATGTTGACCAAACCGCACACTAGAAGATGAAAAGATGACGACATTTCAATTTGTCCTGGACCATTATCAAGTAGATTGTGCATTTAGTGCATCTTGCACTGTGCATTTAGATTTCAGAAGTGTGGCAGGTGCTTTGAACTCTGGGAGTGAAAAAAATTTTTTTAATTTTTTGAGACAAGCTTGAAGATCATCTGTGATGAGTTGTGCGTAAAGTACATTTATTTCATAAGCAGGGGGGAATTAATTGCTTCATGGAATTAAATTGAGTCTTATGTTTTAAGAATGGGTTGCAAACAGTCCCACTACTTACCAGTAACTATATTACAATACTGTATGATGAAATATTAACCAATTACAAAATGCCTCCATTCAGTTTATCTTCATGCTGCTAGTTTGACTTGCAACTCGTGATATAAGTTCCAGATTTTCAGATAGTAATTCACTCCTCAAAATGACATACATACCGAATCAAAGCAGTAAGTAGGTGAACACTGCATTGTGGATATTGTCAACTGTTGCAGCCAAAGGGTTAAGGTAAGATAAGAAACCTGTCGAAGTGGACCAACTGGTAATATGAAAGCAGTATGATTTACAGTGTGGTTGGGAAGAAGTTATTAATATGTAATGCTATGGATTAATGATACTTAGGAAACTCAAAAAAGGGTAAAATTCCAAGTTTAGCACATAAATTACTCAAAGTTATGTCTTATTTGATAGATGCTCACGTTCCTGCTAAATACAACTCGCATGCTTTGGTATGTGTACATGGCAAGTATATAAAGACAAATTATATTAGAGAAATGTAATTTATAGTACCAACCTGCTGCTTTATTAAAACCAAACTGTATACTATTCTTATCTATTTATGGAAATATGTGAAATGTAATTTTATAGATTACTACACAAACCATCTTTATAAACATTGACTCTGTTATTACAAATAATTGTAAAGCACAATTGAAGAATTCTTGTAATGCTGGATTTTGTTAGAAAGTATTTATCTCAGTATTATTCAGTAACTTTTCGTTTGTCATTTTTATGCATGATATATAACTCCATGCATCTAGTGCAAAACCTTACACATTCATTCATTGTTGACATATACTGTACTGTATATAAAACTTTTACTGTGTAGATGCAAAATCTCTTATTCAATTTGGATGTTCATTGACTTCTTGAAGTTAATGATTATTAATTCCTATTAAGTAAATAGCAAAATTATATAAATATTACAATATGTCATCCAAAAAATGATAGTACCTGTACCATTAATGCTCTGGATGGAAAATAGAAAATATGGATTGTTGTACCCCAAAAAAAAAAAATTTATATGATTAATTTTGTAGCAGGCCAGAGAAGGAAAGAAACAACCTAATCTAAACTTTCTTAGGCTACTGTATATACTCTACATACTGTACAGTATTTGTACTAAATTAGGGAAAAGATGACATATATTAGAGCTAAGATTGTTTTTCCAGACCCAGGGACAGGTCAGGGTTGGTTTATAGTTACTGAAACACTTTTTGGCATGCCTTTTGGAGTACTCCAGTACAATAGTACACTACTGTACTGGAGTACAGTACAGTGAACTTTGTGAAGCAACTTTGTGAACTTTGTGAAGCAACTTTGTGAACTTTGAGGAGTCCACCAGTCCAAATTTTGTACATTCCATCTATAGCAACTATAGGTACTATCAGTTTTAGAGGATAGGTTGAAGTATAAGTAACGTCTTGAGAAAGCTTTCATGAGAGTAGAAGGACACAAGGAGGAAAGTAAATTGAAGCAGAGAGAAAATAAGAGTGAAAAATAATATTCATATACTGTGTATATATATTACTAGTACTGTATTGTTCAGGGCAAACACATCTTCTTGAGATGATTTCTGGGCTTTTTAGTGTCCCCGCGGCCCGGTCCTCGACCAGGCCTCCACCCCCAGGAAGCAGCCCGTGACAGCTGACTAACACCCAGGTACCTATTTTACTGCTAGGTAACAGGGGCATAGGGTGAAAGAAACTCTGCTCATTGTTTCTCGCCGGCGCCAGGGATCGAACTCGGGACCACAGGATCACAAGTCCAGCGTGCTGTCCACTCGGCCGACCGGCTCCCAGGCACATGGATGATGAACAAATATAATTTGTTAGGAAAGTTGAATTTAGTATGTAAGGATATGTGTTGTTTAAACATCAATGTGGTCACAAGAAGCAGACCATCAACAGGAGAGAGGCTGGCCCTTTATCTCCTGTATAGTGCATCAATGGGTTACTAAGACTAAATCTTGGATGAAATGGCTGTCATTTTCCCTCCCAAAGAGTTATTATACATGTGTTCCCATTTTCTAAAGTGTGCAGTGTTTATAAATGTTAATTTTATACAAAAAATTTTGTTATGTATGCGGCAGTAAAAAATAAAAAGCTAATCAAACCTTAGGAATAATCAAGCATACCTTTGTTTTTAAGGGAAAGAAGGTAGTTATTAAACTGTATGTGGATGCCCCCACTTGGATTATTTACCTGAAGACCACTAACACTAGTGGCCTCGACGAGGACAGGAAGCCGGTGGCTTGTTGAAGCCACTAACACTAGTGTGTTAGTGGCTTTCTGGTCAATTTAGTATTTATTTTTGAATGATAAGAAACTCTACTCTTGTTATGCAATGTAGTGATTGATTTGCACTGTAGGTAAAAAAAAGTATTGACATAAACTCTGTGACAGGTGTTTCCATCTACCTGATCTGCCAGATTAAGGCTAACCAAAACTAACAGTTAAAGATAAATCTTATACATATTCTTAGAATTTCTTCATTCCTGGTCTTAATGCTTTTAATAATAGCCTGTGGCATAACTATTGTACATTTGGCATTTTTTAAGTGTGAATAATTTCATTCTGCTCATTTGGGGTTTCAGTAATAGCTACAGAATTTCTTGCTATGTACAGTAATAGTTAATCTTGATATACACATTCTACAGCCGCTACCAGTGTAGATGTTGTGTGCTCAAAATACTGTATTTAAAAAAGAATAGCTTTTGTTTATTTAAAATGGATGTTTCAAGTAGCCTAGCATTATTAAAAAAATAGTCTCTATGAATTACCTACTAGGAAGGATACAGTAAATGTATAATGCTGTTAGCTAAGTTTAATTAAAGGAATACTGTATGCTAAAATATTAAATTAGGGTAAAGCATTCTCAAATGAAAATCTTAGCTCAGTACTGATGTTCTTTTACCCACTAAACTGCTAAGCTTTTTAAAAATACCACATCTAGGTGTGCATGAAAAAATATTGAAAACCTATAGGGATCAATCACATTGCAATTTCAGCACAGGAATAAATCACATATGTATGGCAATTCAGAAGGAATGTGTACATTATACCTCATTACTGTATAATAAAAATTGGATGATGTGAGGTTTAACAAAATTATTTCTGATAATGTTCTCTTTAAACAGTAAAACATTTGCACTGATAATTATACATTTATCTTGCATTTTATATGATCTCACTGAATGTAACTTGTATATTTATTTATAAATGTGGATATCTGAATACATTTTGTCACATTAATATACCTTAACACTGGTAAATTCTTATCTAAAATAAAGTAATTTTCCATAATTTTTCTGTTGTGCAGTTTACATTTTCTATGCTCACTCAATTTTGTTTAAATACTGTACTGTACAGAACAGTACAATACTTCACTGAATCAGGACAGAACTTAAAATAGAATTCTTTTTAAATCTCTCTCCCATTCATATTGTTAAGATAATGAAAAAGATCTTCAGTAATCACCTTAAGCCATCATATAGGCTTAGAAATACAAAAATTGAATTTAATGTGGCCTAGTGAGGAACATTAATTCCTAGGGGCCAGTACAAGATAGATCATGGCACAGTAGTGTGAAATATGGTAAAATACCAAGCAAAAATATCTAGGAAAGTTTTCTACTGTACAGGTATT